CCATATCATTTTGTCCTTCCATTCACTTTAAGTAAGACGAGAGAATTCAAACACCAAACACAAAGTAGCAACCGAGAAATGACGTGACCTTGACTGTCTTGAAATGACCCAAAACAATCCCAGGACCTCTTTGGAGCCTAGAAATTTGTTTCTGACTAAGTGTAATTGTGTAATACAATGTAAAAAAGTAGATCTCTTGTAACTGTTTCAGCCCTACACGCTTAAGGTAATTCATTTATATGCGTTGCGCACACCAGAGTAACTGTTGCCTTCATTTTTACCTTCCAATAGGCTTGTATGGAACAAAAAGGAGTAAATACTTCAGAGTTTTACAGCGTTGCAAAACAAGACACAGCTGAATTTTTCCACAGAGAAGACGGGGAAAATTTTTTGACATACAAAGGGACAGCTTTCAATAAGTATGTATAAGATTTCCTACGAAGGATCTATGGTAAATGAAGCAACCTTGAATGAAAGTATCTTGTCAATGCATGTGACTACAGTCAATCTGCGGCTCTCGTAGTCAAAGAGATCTTCATATATATATATATATATAGATAGGGGAAATCAAGAAACAGAGAGTCGGAAAAGACGGTGAAAACCAAAACTGTGACCTTTGACCTCAATTAATTGGTTGGAAACCCACATTTTTTTAACTTCATGAGAGAATTAAGTATTTTATGATTTCCATGAGTAGTCAGGGGTAACGAATGCGTTTTCTATTTCCCGAGGGCACCCCGAACGCGCTCCGAGGGTGTCCCGAGGGTGCCCGCATGTTGACAGGGCAGCTTCAACTGAGCTATCAAGACAATATATCAGTGAGGGTGTGTGGGGGAATTCTGCTTTATGGCAACTAAAAAACCCAGACGCAGTCTCTCACCCCTCACTCTTTCGATCGTTCGAAAAAGTCAAAGTTATTGCTCCAAAAAAAATACTTGGAAATTTCATTTACATGTGTGGGCCTAGGCACCAACTCGGAATCAATGAATGAAAACATTTTCAGCCATTTTCGGTGGTCGTCGAAACTTTTAAAAATCCTTAATAAAATAGCGATATTAATTTACGCTTGTGGTAAAACTGGCTTTTTAGTGATTATATCATTGATCAGAGCAAATTTATTGTGATTAGAATTCAGGAACAAGCAGCAAATAACAACTAATTGATAAAGTATTGTCTAATCGTCAACTAGAACTTGTTTTGTTTTGTTTTGTTTTTTCAGGACTTCAGTGTTTTCTGTGGTTCTTAAATGCGATCCAAAAGAGGAAGGCAAAGTCGACCCAGTGATTGCTTATACCACAAAAAATGCTTACGTAAGCTCCTAGAACTCAGTGATTTTAAGCTATTAATTGCATTAACATTGAGTGTCATAACACTAAAGCCAAAGTAATACAGGAGCCAATCAGAAAAAAGGGAAATATCACCAGGAGCCAATGAGAGCTCATAGAAAACAGAAAAATCACGCGTGACCAAGTCGTGACTGGTGTTAGTTTTGAATCTGATTGGTTGAGAAAGTGGTGCTCGATTTTTGGAAAATCACAGCGAAGTAAAGCAAAACCAAAGTAATTATGGATTACTTTCGACACTCAATTGAAAAGATTGCACTGACTGTTACAGTTTGTTTGTTTGTTTTATGTGATTTAAATTATACTACCTTATGCTCGTTCCTCTCCTCTTATCGTTCCAGGCTCCACTCTTTCATTCTTTGCCTTGCTCTACTTAGTGTTCGACTGATAAATTGTCTTTTTCAGGAGACTGTTTTGTATTCAAAATACGCCTGCCCTTCTGGCTCAAGCTCAACTGGCTTGGGCTTAACTGCAATCGCTACCATGAGGTAAATAAAATTGAGGACATAGTTGAACATGTTGAAGGTACTTGTACGATTACTTATATACGAGTTATACAGGTGTTCTGAATATTAATTACTCTAAAAAGGATTTTGAACTCGCAAGCGAGGAATCGTAGGAGTCAAACTTGACTGTCTTTCAATCGGATAGTCGCGCAAATGCAGCGTGACTCGATCTTGTTGATTGACTATTGATGCATACGATCGCATGTGTCATCCTATCCGGGACAATAATCTACAAGCTATCTTTTCCGAAGATAGCACGATGGGATAGCGAAGCTTTTCGTGCGAGGCTGGAATTGCTGAGTAAACAAAGGAAATAACTGCGCTGAAGGTCCTCTCATGGTACGCTAAGAAGTTTTTATTTTGCGGCATGATCGCGATCGCAAACATCAACGGTTTCAACGGTTAATTATATTAGAAATATAGAGTAGAGCTACAATTGTATGGTTTACCCAGCGGAAAATGGAGTTTTTTGCTCCCTGCGGAGTGTGTGTATGTGTGTGTATGGGGGGGGCTGCTTTTGGAAGCTTCGAGTAGGGGTGTATAAGAAGCGTGTTGAATAACGTTTACCAATATCTGACGCTTTCTCGAACGTAAAGGCTGCTATTCTAGTTGCCTCAAATCTGTAGACCAAATTATTCAGTTGAACGTATCAAACTTCACTGCCCCAAAAGAGAAGTTGAAGAGAGATTGATCATCAGTATGGTAATTTTTGAGTGCTCTATCTCTTTGTTAATCTGAGTTTTTTTCTTTTTTTTTTAGTGTCATTACTATTCTGGGTGTTGTGATCATCGCCTTCCTTATTTTTGTTGTCCATTTACGTAACAAACTTCCCGATGGAGTTCCAAAGCCGTCTATGTGTACCTCGATGAAGGTGAGGCGGATAGCAGCTTTACCCTGAGTGACTGGCTCTTTCTTTCGTGAGGGTTTTGAGAGAGAACTAGATTTCTAGTATTCGCGTCACCACCACACTCATCAAGGAAATTTATGCGCGAAGTGACGGCAATGAAGGAGGGGTGAAACATGGGATTTATTGCGTAGAACGCTGTTATTAGCCCTGCATGTGCATTTTGAAACTTTGCGCATTTTCTAGCCTTCCTTTACAAAACAACAGCAAAATTTTTGGTTCTCTGAAAACAGTAATACCGAAAGCAAATTACCCACGCTACTTACGTGTTAAGCTGAAGAGAGCTCTCGCGACGTTAAAGACGTTACACATATCGAGCCTTCAGCAAAATTCCTGAAAAAATGTTTTCATTTCAACTCGTGGATTTGCGAAGCGTGAAAACGAGTAATGAGGGGGCTCGAAATATCGAGGCGTTACCGTGGCCCTAGGAGTCTGGAGAGAACATGCATCCTGTGAGGATGGCTCCGTAAAACAGAATCTGTTTACTGCTATCCTCTCGTAGTTTAGTTTGAAGAGCGCTTTTCTTATTTTTCTCTTACAGGTTGCACTGGGGATGATATTCGCAAAGTTCTGTCCCTGTTGTAATGGATCAGGCTATGCCAAAGTTCCCTAGTCACAAATAACTTCTTCAATTCTGTTTAACTTTTTACAGCTCGTGGAGTATGATCGCAGGTGTCTCAGAAAGGATAAAATCTGAATGCAAGTGTAGGCTATTGGAATATAGATTTTTTTTAGTAAACTGCTGAGAACGACACAAAAGATAAAACAACTGAGAATACACAAAAAGTTCTGCATAACATTAAATTTGATTCAAAAAACTCGAACAATCATGAAGTTCTCTTTTTTTATATTGGAAGTTGTCTACTTCTGATTTGGAGCCCTCTTGACAGTGCCGGAAGTAAAACTAGTTCAAAGGGTCCTCTCTCTCCCTCTCTCAAGAAGGTACAGTACTTCCTGGAGGGGAGAAAGAGAGAGGACCCTGGGAACGAGTTTGGGGTGTGTTCTGGCAGGGGTTATTGTGTTGTATTCTTGGTACAAGGCCCTTTCCCCACGAGTACTTCTCTCCACCCAGTAGTGAAGATGGATACTGACAAACTGTAAAGAAAACTTGAGGGGGCGCTAGGGGTGTTCTCTAAGGGACCAGTATCCATCCGAGGCAGGGGGTCTCAGTCTCTCTTCTTCCCACTGGGAACGAAGTCACTCGTCACTTCATGCCGAGGAGATGGGGTAACTTTGACGTAAATTACTGAGTTGTGCGTAGACTTACTGTAAAAGCTCTCACAACAAGCTCATACAGAAAGTAGATCTTCTTAAAAGCCTTCCCCCCTCGACTGCGCGAAGTTTTAATCCAGTTTCGGCACGTTCGAGTCGCCGAATCTTCTAACTTTAACTGATTATTTGGGACCGTGTCTGTGCAGTACTTAGCTTTTTGTCGAGATCTGTTTAAATATTTTGAAAGAATGCAAAATAGCAGACTTGTGACGCTGCTCAACAGGTGAAGGAAATTGATCTCAGGAAAGGCGCAAGAACACACGGGAAGTCAAAGGCGTTGTAGGGCTTTGGATCACGTCCCTACCCACCCTGTGTAGGCATGTTAATTATACGCTTCATTTATTGTTCTATTCACACCTGAACAACCCAGCGCTTCTAGCATCATTGCTCAGTATTTCTCAGTGGGTATGTCACTCCTAAGCGTACATATATCCACAGTCCTCTGTGACATTTGATGTTTGTTTTCGTCTTGTGAGCGCAGATCAGACTTTGCAAAAACTGACAGAAACAACAGTTCATCATTCTAATCATTTAATGGAAACCTATGTTTGGATACAGCACATAGCTTAGTGAAACTATAAACGAAAGGAACTTGCAGTGTCAAAACAAAAAACACGGAGGAACCATCCTACATCCAGAAAAAAATTATAGTTAAATAAAAAATATTCTCAACTTTCCTTTGTAAACCATCTCTCTAAATGCGATCCAAGGCTGCCTTGCCAATCCTCACATTTCTATACTCTTTAGTGGTGTTGCAATTAAGTCACTTCGCAGTTCTCTCACAATTCTCTGATGCTTTCTCAACGTACAAGACACATTCAAGTTCACAACATGCATAAACTGCGAATTACAGGTCATACAACTTTTAAGCTCAATGCAAGCTCCTTTTTTATCGTTTTGTCACTGTCTACCATTAAAACTAAACTAGTAGGAAATTCAGTCACACTTTGTCATCCTGATGTCATAATAAGTTTTTTTTTCATTTCTAATCATTAACAACGCCGTAACTTAGGTCCATTCCAGACACTAAAGTTTTCATGAGCTCCACTCCATTCTACTCTGAACTGACCCATAAGAATGCCTCTTGATTCAGGCAATCATATATTACCAACAGTTTCACCAAACATTTATCATAACTTATGCATTAAGTTTGGCATATGGTGAGCTCAGTTCAGTATTTGAATCAAAGTCCTTCTAGAGTCAAAATCCCCTCCCATCTGAAAAAGTGGCAGAGCCATTACAAACTGAAATTGTTATTCTTAAACTGATTAGATGTCTCACTTTTCATGTTCTGAATTGCCAACAAGAGCAGATGCAAGTCTGAACTAGATCTTACACAACAAGGCAACTACATTTGCAGTTTGGTTGCAAAACTATACGAATTATTGTTGAATCTAATTTGACTTAACAAACACTAGGAGAGGTCATTCACACTAGAGACCAAACACTCAGTTCACAGAGCAATGCAGGGGTAACCAGCTGAGATTTGTGAGGAAGTACTGACAACAACAATACTCTCTGCACCCCCTCCAGCCACATGGACATAGTTGATAGAACCATTCTCTCCAAATTTTGGCACAAGGTCAGCTAAAACCTTCCCAGGACTTCCCTTAACGAAGGACAAATTTCCAGAGAGTGGCACTGCACCAGAGAACACCAGGCTGTCAAACTTAACAAGCACTGGTACATCAAGACCCACCACTGTTCCAGTTAAAGTAGTATCTTTGCCATCACAGTTGAATGTGATGGACACTGCAGCAGGATATGGGAGACCTACTGTATCCATATGGGTGGATGATACCTGAAATGAGGAACCACAACAACATCCTAAGAGAAGAATGCAATCAATTTTACCTGATTGCTAATAAAAAAAAAAAGGTGTTGCAAAATAACTCTTGAAGTTGCTCAAATATGGCATTGAAAAATACTGTGAAAGATCAGTAAATATCCATTTCCCAAACCAAAAAATACCTTTGACATTTAAGTCTCCAATGACCATTCATTAATATATTCTGGAAACAGAAATTCAACTCAATGCAATAGTATTTATATGAGAAAAGACCCAATTTACCGTTTCAGGATTATAAATAAATGGCACATCTGGTTGTTCTCATAAATAGTATGAGACATATGTCCCCCTTCCACTCAGATTTGGACCTGATTGATACTTAGTCCAATTCAACCATGTGGGAGCCTTTATGTACATGTTAACTGTTTGATTCTTTTGATTCCCATAACAGACCAAGAAAGAATTTTTCCTTACAGTATCAATACAATATCATGCAGACAAGTGACAAGAATAAAGAAAAATATCAATCAGGAGATTGTTAGTTGATCCAATACCAAATTCTCCTGACTAATTTCTAAGAATTGTATGGCAGACAGTAAGGAGAATTTCTAATGAGATCTCGGGAGTGAAAGGGTTGAAGTTAACTTGACTCACCTGACATCCCTTCTCTTTGGCCATTACAGAAGAATTCACTAAATTAGCCTCACTTCCCATAATTCCTGCTGACACGGCAGCTGTGATGTAACGTCCAGCAGGTTTCATATCAGCACCATAAGTTGTTACTGTTGCCTTGGCAACTTTTCCCTGAGAGAGGCATGCTGCCACCTTACCCAGTTTTTCTCCCAAGCTCAACCAAGGCTGGGCCTGAGGCTTGAGGGCATCTGCTAAGAATGTGGCATTGACCTGTAACAAAATAATACCCTTGGTTCTTTGAAGGCTTTTTTTGTGTTCTAAGGAAAATTCTGCTCTCAGTCCATGAAAGTTTTCATCTTTATCCACAGTTCACATTATGTGATTTTCATATATTCACAGTCTCATTCATCACTTCACACATTTATTTGGAACCAACATAATGACCAGCTCCCAGTTGGCTTGTTAGCTCAGCTGGTGGAGCACTGCACCAGTATTGCAAAAGTCATGGGTTCGAATCCCGTACAAGCCTGAATTTTTTCAGGCCTTAATTTCACTACAGTTTAAGCAGTATTCATTACTGCAAAGATCACTTTCATATTCAGAGTTCTCACTGTAAGCAACATTTGGCAATGTCATCCATCCCTCTTTCAATTATTCAATATATTTTTTCCGTTACTTCTCAATGGCTGCATGAGAACCCACCACATGACATACTGGGCAGATCAAGGATTTTTCTTAAAGGAGGGTGCACCATGAAGAAATGAGGTCACTAACAGGTGATGCAAAAAATTTTTAAAAGCAAACAATGAAGAAGAATTAGGCTTATGACTATGATATAACATAATGTGAACTGCTGAGAGTACATAGCAAACAAAAACACAGGTAAAACTGTGAAGCACACTGCACAGTGATAATGGATTGATGTAAACATGTTGTTCTGATGAACATAAATTCTTCAACCTAGTCTCATATTTTACTTTAAAACAACTAAACCACAGTTTTTTTTTTGTAGGATACTGGCTATATTAGAAAACTGTTTGACATACAGTTTTCTAATTTCCCATCTCACGGGGGAAGGGGGATTTGCACCACCAGCACCCCTAGATCTACCCCTGACATTTAAAAACTGCCTACAAATAATGGTCAGTTTGTGCATCAGAGGTTTCAATTAATTCAAGGTACAAATGGGTAGTGTAGAAAAGCAGTCGGGTCGTGTTCTGAGGGTCTGGCGGACCTTCTCTTTCTGAGGATAACTGAACTCTCCTGGGAAAGTTTACTTTTACTTCAAGGTAGATTAAAATTTATTTTTAATGTTCCACAAAGTCACCCAATTACAAGAGAATTATATGTCTGTAGAGTACAATGACATTTGTAGCCTGCAGGGTAGCCACCAGCACATTACAGGCTTTGATATCTGTCTGCTAGCCTATTATGACTGAATTAAACATTTTGCTACAATTGATCTCAAAAATGAAATATTAGCTCACCACACCAAAGAGGGACTTCCCTTGTACAGCATCAACAAACTGCTCAGCGATCTCCTTGGCAACTCTAGTTTGTGCCTCCACTGTGCTGGCACCAAGGTGAGGACAAGCTATGACTTTAGGATGTTGGGCCAGCTGGGCAGATACTCCTATAGACAAAAATTCAACACAAAACTTTTACTCTTTGAAACTCAAAACATTCCCTAACCCTTTACATCCTAACATCAGTATGCATATTCTCCATACTGTTCTCTATACATTTTCTAACATTTTGACAAGGAGAATTTGTTTGACCCTTTAGCTCCCAGAAGTGATTACCATGTATCTTCTCCCTATAGCATCCATACATTATACAGCAAACAGGTAATGAGAAGTTTCAAACTCATCAGGTACAATTTATTACCTTGATTGAACACCTAATTCTTGTAATCAATTAACAAGGAAACATGTAGCAGCTAGAGGGGAGAATTGACAATCAGATCTTGGGAGGTAAAGGGTTAAAAATTAAGAACTTCTTTAGTTGGTGATCATTTCCTTTATTCCCATAACCTTAATGTGTGATTCAGGAGTGATATTGTAAGGAGAAATTAGATGCTTGTCATTCCTGGGGTGTAGAGGGTTCATTTTTGCTGACCTTTTCCTGGAACTTTTTGATATCTTCCATGATCAATGTTGAGAAGTTGGTTTAAAAGTAATGAGGAAAAGTTCACTAATTCAAGACATTTCTTTATTTATTCTTTCCCGCAAATAAACAATAGTTACTCATTTTCCACAACTCTCTTGAGCCTGGAAAATGACTGAAAAAAAATACGTGTTATTTCTGTTCAAATTACCCACCTGTTGAACATTGTGACCATATTTTAAGTGACCTAAACCAATATCAGAATTATCACACTTTTTTTTAATAGAAAACTGGAGGTCACAAAAACAAGAACCAAAATCAATGCTCAATTTTCTGTAACTTGTACAAATCCTTTGACCCTTTAACCCTTTACGAGTGATAATTAACTATTTTCCTATTTTCCCCTATCTGCAGTATCACCCCTAAAACAAACACCGAGGTCATGAGAATAAAGGAAATGATCACCAGCTTAAAAAAAACTCTTGATTGTTAAACAAATTCTCCTTGCCAGTACCATAGAAAATGCATAGAGAACAGTATGGAGAATATGTATACTGATGATACAAGTAAAGGGTTAAGGTGGCTGTGAACCCAAGAGAACCCCCTTCTCATACAAAAAATTTCAGATGATGAAGCTTGATAATCTAACAATTACTCTGACATAAACTTGACATGAAGTCAGATCTAACCCATTTATAGTGATCAAAAAGGAAAAAAAATCCATAAAACGGACAAACAATGGAAAGAAAGAAAATTCTCAGTTCTAGACTCACCAGTGGGAGGTTCAGTTTCAAACACATCCAGACCTGCTCCACCACACTGCCCTGATTCCAAATTCCTCAGCAGAGAAGCCTCATCAATGATACCACCACGAGCACAGTTGACCACATACACACCTTTTTTACAGAGTGGGAAAGTCTTATCCCCTAAAAGGCCTGCATAGGAAAAAAATAAATATTGATTTTCAATCAATGACTGACAAACATTTTAACAAAAGTAGTTATTTATAAAAGTAACAATAATACTTTTGCTCAGATGAGGGGCTACTGCCAAAAATTTCAGCTTTGAAACCCTTTACAATGAGCAATTTACATCAACAACTCAGTTGATAAAAAAAAATTACCGGTATCTTGCTACACTCCCCCACTGATACAGGACCATTGTTTCCTTAGAAGCTTACCCCTTTTAACAATAATATTGATTTTAATAATTATGATAACAATAATAATAAGAGTAAACAGAATAAGGGAGATGGTAAGTTTTGAGCTTGGTAAAGAACTAGAAAAAGATGTTTACATGGGACAAAGAAAAATTGGAGCATCAGAGCGTGGAATCCAAAGATCTGAGGTTTGATTCCTCGTGGGGACTCCAAATTGGAATTTTTTCTTTCTCCCACATTCATGACAAGACAAAAAACATCTTTCCTTAGTGATAAGAGTAATATCTTATACCTGGCTGAATTAACTGCACTGGGTTTTTTTAAGAAAGATCATTTTCTCTCACAATGCTTTTCCCCAAACAAGAATTTAAATTGTTACATGCAAAGCAGCAAAGGGGGAATTTAGCATACCATTATCATTATTATTATCATTATCATTATCATTATCATTATTATTATTATTATTATTATTATAATTATAATTATAATAACTCCTTGATGGCACCTACCCTTTGTCTGTGGTATAAGAGGTGTATGCACAGTAATGTAATCTGCTTTTGGCCACAGCTGGTCCAGTTCCATCCATTCAATGTTATATTTTGCAGACTCTTCTGCAGGAACAATTGGATCATATCCAATGGTCTGTTAAAAGACCATAAAAAAGTGTAAGAAAAATTATGAATTTCATACCTGCTTTTAATACAATTGTCAGAATTCATATTTTATTTTTTTTAAACACCTCGTTTGTGAGAGATTTCAATTTACTAGCATTCTGTCACAAATGCTGCAGTCTGATTGGCTACCCTGCTTGCTATTCACCTTTATGACAGGTAATGAGTCAAGTGGGTGGCCTGCCAGTATGTCCTTTTTAAAAAATAAATAAATAAAAATGAGCCTGTCTTCTTGTTCAGTTTTGAACAACAAGTTGATCTTATACTAAAACAACTGGTTTATTCGCTCTTGAATTATATGCAGGATAGTTGATTTGCCCTCCGCCCTTGTCAACCATTTTATGATAAAAATACCACCTGTAGGCTGATCAGGTCATTCATTCTCATTACCTGTCTGCTGGGCCAATTACTGATATTATCAGAAGGTTCATTCTGATTACTTTGAAAGTTCGAAAAATAAAAACCAAAAAAAAGAAAGAAAGAAAAAGGAACAGAAATATTGAATTTAAGATTATCACTCTATATCAAGATGAAGTGCTTCCATTTGGCCATACTGCCTCCCACAATAAGACTCTATAAAGGACACGCACTTCAAATCTTCACGTTCTCTTACCGTCACACCATAGGATTGCATGCGATGAGCAACTTCTCTTCCAATCCTTCCTAATCCTACAATTGCTAATGTCTTGCCAAGTAGTTCACTTCCCATGTACTGCAAAATGATTATGAAACATAAAGCTAAGATAATTTTTTTTTGGTTTTTTTCAATATTAGCTGGGATAAAGAGGTTGAACACCAGAAAAAACTCTAGAAGCATTCTGTTGAAAAGTGTCTTTGAAATACTGTGCTACCTTTGTTTTTGGAATCAGTTAATTTCCTAAAACTGTGTGCTACATTCAGATCTACATACATGCCTCAAAATGTTTCCCAGATATTTTCAAGACTTATTTTAGTGACAACCCTGGTAAACCAAACTTCCAGTGGGGGATGCTGATTGGAATTTGTGTTCATTCCATAAGTACAAAAGATCAGGGTGTGGCTCACACTCTTTCATGGCTCTCTAGAGATGCTTCTTTTAAAACAGCTAGTAGGTCAGAGCCACTTTAAACTTATTAATGAGACCATGCAGCCTTAATATTGCTTCCTCTTAAGTCAACTTCCACCAAAACACAATAGCAACTATGACTTATTCTCAAGAGCACTTAATCAAAGAGGGTTAGAAATTTAAAATTTGTTCACCTATACAAGCCAATAAGGCCACCTATCTTTTCAGATTTCAGCCATCCCCCCTCTCAGACCAAAATGATAAGCATACCTTCTTCCTGTCCCATTTTCCTGCTTTCATGGAGGCATCTGCCTGAGCTGTATGTCTGTGTCAGGAGAAGAAATGCAATATTCAATCTCCAGACAACCAAAGCATTTTAACTTTTAATTTTTTATATCTCATAGACTGTCTTCCAAACATTATTTCCCTTTTTTGGCATTTTTTTTAATTTGGTAATAAATCAAGATAACAGATATTAAATGCTAGGCAATTATACAACTTTGATCATTTGCCTAGCTACAACATCAGATAAATCTGGTTAACATGACCAATCCAGTGGATGTACCAACCTGAATACCCTGAGAAGAATCAACTGTTTTTCTATTTGCTATGATTGATTATCACAAAAATGCATAAACAACATAATTAATGAAACCAAATACCCAAATTACTGCAAAGGTATTTACACCTGCATCATATAGCTTAAAATAGAAAATTCAGCACTGATAACAATTATTTCAAATATTTGTCCTTGAATGCAAGAAGTTATGAACAATTATATACCTAACTCTGAAATTTTTTTTTTACACTAGTGTTATGGGAAAATTACTTCAAAGCTTGGATTCTTATTACAGAGTTACCCTCTTAATTGTTAACCAAGTTCTTTTACCTTGCAAGGGTGCTGATAAGTACACAAGTCTGTTCAGCGGCACTAATTGTATTGCCTCCTGGTGTGCTAGACAAGATACAAAAAACAATTGTTAAGAGGGCTGTCGCTTGACATCTATAAAGCTCTTATGTATCCTTTCGGCTCCTAAGGAGTTGAGCAAAGGCTGTTTATACAGGCTTGATAGAAACTATGGTTGCATAATGTTTGTTGTGCAGGCTAATAACGAATATTTCTATTTCATATTTAGAAAATGTGACACCGATCATTTGAGGACTAACGTTGTTGTTTAAATAATCCTTGGAAATGCATTGGATGACAAAAAGCATGTGATCCCCCAGCTACTTACAACGATCACACCGTTGTCACAAGGGAAAATAAATAAAAATTTTATGAAAATTTGAATGCGGAAAGATTCATTTGTGAACATAGTCAGAAAATTAAAATCAGTCGACAGAGTTCTTTAGATGTATTATTTTATGAAACGGCAAAGGATGATGTTCTGGCTTAACGTGACGTAGTTTTACACCTCAGTAATTCTACGACGGGTTAGTGATTTCACAGACCAGCGAAGTCACATAATCGAGAAATATTACGTTAAACTGAAGCAATCTAACTTTAACCTCTACACTTAAGTATTTCTCTTTCAGTTAAAAGCGACCTCCCAAAACAGACTGGTCATGTCTGCATAGTTTATCTCAAACATCGCCTGAATATTTGCATCTAAGTTTATATTAATGTACAACTTGTACAAGATTTTCAAAATGGTGTGACACGAGAACCCATTACCGACCATCGATGAAATTTTTAAAATTAATACAACTTATTGAGATTTAAGTGAAAACAAATTTAACCAAATAACCTCTTACTTCATGACAATAATTCCTTGAAGAGAGGCAGCCGGGATGTCGATGTTGTCAACGCCTGTTCCAGCGCGACCTATAATTTTAAGATTTTTTCCAGCTCTGATCACTTCAGCCGTTACTTTTGTTGCGGATCGGACAATCAGACCGTCATAGTTCTGAAAATAAAGAATAGAATGAACGAAAAAAATCTATACGTGACAAATTTATCAAAATTGGTTTCATAGCGTACAGGAATTGCTGCAAGAAGTTCTTCTTTGGTGAGCTTCGTCTTAAGATCCACGGCGATTCCATTCGCTTCCAGAATGGTTTTACAACAGTTATCCACACTGTCACTGATCAAAACACGCTTAAGATTTAGAGAAAACGCCATCCTGTTTCAACAGTTTGCGAATATGTGCGCTCAATCACTGTGGAAAATTAAATTTTCCACGTGTACACACTTTCCGAATTATGTAGGTGCACCTGCGTGTTGTGATTGGTTGAATTTAGCCGCCATCACGTGAAGGTACTTTCCCGCCATTATACGAACACTTTATCCAAAGACGATAAAACTTTCTTACTCTAATTTTCAGCTATCGTAATTGTACTACATTTATCGGAAAACTTATAAATAATCATAGTTATTATGGGCCGAAAATTATTTCGAAAAAGATCCTACCAAATATGAAAAAATACTGGTTGAGGTCCTAACATTCTGTGAACAAAGTTCACTGATAGCGTGAAAGGTATTTTGCAATACTTCTAAATCTTGTGAACAAAGACGACTTGTCATGACCGAATCGTGCTTTCTATAATTTAGGCTAATCAATGTTTACCACTGCTATATATAAGCTTTTAAAGAATTCCTCTTAGATTTAATAAACACAACACTCCATTCTAATTTATTTTCTCAGTATCGTCTTTACAATTGCGAAGTTCTGAGTAGTCAAAAATTTCTGGTCATCGTGACGCTTCGGCACTCGCGTGATCCCTGGGCCTTCGGTCACGCAATGCTTACTCCAGTCGATATAGACGAACTGGGAAGATATAGTGACGATGAAGGCCTGAGTAAATTTTGAGCGGAAAGAAAGAAAGGCAGTGGGAAGTCAAAATGTTCCAGTAGGAAAAAGGATGCTAGATATTTTCTTTTCGGCGACATGATCTTCTCTCTTCCACTATATTTGGTGCAAACATACTTGCGCTCTAACTAATAAAATATACTACTAAATAAACTGAGAGTTAATTGTTCTCTGGAGTCCAATAGGTCTTTTATCACATGAAAAAACGACCCAGTGAGGTAACCACAAAAAATTAATACATAAATAAAAGATAAGGACTGTCCAGTCTTTCAAGACCACCCAAGGTTTTCAGCCAATCATGAGACAAGTCCACACAAAAGAATTTTGGACCAATCAAAACCTCAAGTCCATTCAAGACCTACCACATGCAAGAAACACGCATTTTGTTATGGGGGGTGGGGGGATACATCACAGCACATTCTAACATTCAAAAAAGTTCATTTTTATTCAACAAAGCATAATAGCATTAAATATAATTATATCTTGAAAATAAAGATTGTTTTCAACATCTTTAATAACAATGACAATGTAAATAAAGTCAGCATCTCTTCAACTTGGGAGATGATGATAATGATACAACCCTTCAACATTGTTAAAAATAATGATAAAATTGATAAAATAGTTGTTTGATTCATATGTGACATTTTCCTGAATTATCCTTTTGGTTATTTTTAAGACGTGTGTGACATGGATTTGTTCTGTAACACGTATATAACATTGTACCACCCCACTGGGCAATCATGTTTCAAGGTCAAATATTCTTGAGGTTTTTCCTCAATCACCAGGTGTCTTTATGTTGACACTACTTGTTTAGTTCTTGCCAGCAATATTTTCTTCTTTTGGATGATCTCCTGTTTGCTTCACTTAAACATGGGAATATTTGTAAGTTTTGTCTATTTGCATTTTGAATTAGCTCTTTAGTAATCCATTAGTTTCTTAAAAATATTGTAATTTATTTTCTCCTCAAATTGTTCAAGTGCATTCAGATCACCCACATAGCAGGCATGAGAAGTCACCTTGAATCCAACACAAGTTGGATGCATACATTAGTTACCTGGTAAATTTGATTATAAAATAACTATCTATCAAATATTTCAATAAGTAATTCTACCAAAACCAAAGTATATATTCTAACAGGTTCCAATCAGAAATACTCAATCTCTGAAAATTACTTTTGTAAAGGAAATTTTTTTTAGCCAAATTTACTCCAGCACCAGGCTGATTAATTCATATTTCTTCATACGAGCTTCGTTTTCGTCCACAAGTCTTCTTACAAAACTGGTATGAAAATTCTACACCATCCTATAACAGAAAAAAATATGTGAGTTTCCATAACAAAAAAACACAGTTTCGAATGAAGTATGAAAAAATCCTTATTGTGGGCTTAAAATACTACGCATGGCTATTGCCAAGACAATATGTTCAGTTTTACAATAATTGGTGCAAATTGTAAGAGGAAATGTAAATACAGGCTTCTTTGAAACACCTCTGCTCAGCTGTGTTCTGTGGGAGGACCACTCTATCAGCCACAAGCATAATTTCCCCCTACCCCCCCCCCACCCATAGTATGATTGTCCAATTAATCCAGATATCTGAAAAAGTGGACATTTGACAACACAAAAACTATTAAAAGATGATAGAATATAATTTTTCCGATATTTTGCGATACTTCAAAGCAAATCCCCTTGCAGTCATGCCACACACCTTCACAAGCAATGGAAAGTCCATCCAGAAGTTGACATTAGGAATGACCTCTTTTCCAGAGGCTCCCCGATGAAACTTATTGAAAAGAACTCCAGCTACAATGTACACTAAAAGTACAGATCCAAAACTGAAAAAAAACAACAACAAAAAAAAAAATCATGGAATGGACTTAACCTTTAGAAACCAAACAGTTGACTGCATTCTAAAGCCAGAGAGGTACCTAAAACAGGTGTATATTCATTTCCAGAATTTTTTTTTTCAATTCCCGGAGTGAAAATTCCATGATTATTTGTCTTAAAGTCCTTCAAGTAAATAAATAATAGTCCAGAAATCAATAAACACCTGTTCTGACTAAAATATTTCTCTAGCACTGAAAATATTTAGACGGGCTTTTCAACTCTTTGTTTTCAAATCCTCTGTCCTTGTTTTTAACAAGTCGTACTCAAAATGCTTAACGGAATTTAATACCACTCAGTCACAGTTTGTTCATCTCAGAAAATTTAATACATAGGATATTTCAGGATGGTTATTTACAATTATGTCCATCTTAAATCAACCACTCTTGTTCCTTCTTGGTTTAGATTTGCATCTTGTATTTTGTCTTTCTAATGAACTAATATTTTGTGTTCTTCTCTTCAAGTTAAACTTGATCCATGTCAAGATAAAATGACATACATGTCATTCCTTGAGGGTAATAAAATTGTATTATCTGACTTCTTCCTACTGCTTTGCAAAGATGGAAGAATCTGTGAGTGTAGATTGAATTTGGTCCATCCCAGGATCAAGTGAAATAAAAAATCCCACCATTTGCCATTTAGCGGAGGCATTTTCAACACGCAGTATTTACCCGTCTACCTAAAGGTGACGCAAAGCTGTGAAATTGAGCTACCCATAATTGACAAACAATTATTTCAATTGTTACCTAATTCTACTTACATTATAATTAAGACACTTCCTGTACTCAAACCTGATTTTCTGGGACAAGCATACTTGGAGTGAAGTATGAATGACTGGAAAAGATAAGTTTGAAAGCAAGTTTTGAATACATAACACAATGTCAGTGAAGTACAAATTAAGGTGATACCAGCCAAAGTCCTGTATCTGTCTTCTCTTTTTACTGTAAAACAAACCTGTATTCGGGTTACACCTCTACTAATCTTTACCCTTTAACCCCTTGGAGTGACTAACATCTAATTTCTCGTTACGATTTTATCACTGAATCACACATAAAAGTCATGAGAATATAGGAGATGATCACTAACTGAAGAAGTTCTTAATTGCTGACAGAGCAAATTCTCCTTAGCAGCACCCTAGGAAATGTAAAGAGAACGGTGAATGGAGAATATGCATACTGATGTTGGGGTGCAAAGCGTTACTTTACTGTCACTGATCAACACATGCTTGAGATTTAGAGAAATGTCATCCTGTTTCAACAGCTTGCAAATGTGTGCGCTCAATTGCAACCTCTGTGGAAATTTAAATTTTCCATGTACACACTTGTTGAATTATGTAGGTGCACCTGCGTGTTCTGATTGGTTAAATTTAGCCGCCATCATGTGAAAGTACTTCCCTGCTATTATACAAACACTTTATCGTAAGAGGATCAAACATTCTTACTCTAATTTTTAGCCATCATAATCATGCTGCTTTTATCGGAAAACTTATAAACAATCACAGGTATTATGGGCCAAAAATCATTGCAAAAAAAATCCTACCAAATATGAAAAAATACCGGTTGAGGTCCTAGCATTTCGTGAACAAAGTTCACTGATAGCTAGTGTGAAAGGTGTTTTGCATTACTTCTGAAAAGTCAAGGAGTATTCAGGTTACAGTACACCTCTACTAACCTTTACCCCTTTAACCCCTTGGAGTGACTAACATCTTATTTCTCCTTACAATTTTACCACTGAATCACACATAAAAGTTACGAGAATATAGGAGATGATCACCCACTGAAAAAGTTCTTAATCACTGACAGAACAAATTCTCCTTAGCAGCACCCTAGGAAATGTATAAAGAACAGTGTGGAGAGTATGCATACTGATGTTAGGGTGTAAAGGGTTAACACTTTATGACAGCATTGTCTGCCAATGTTTGAAGTATAAACATGCACAACTGAATTTTATAAAAATGGAACATAAAGTTCACCAAATTTGGGACAAATCCTGTTAATTCAATGCACAAAATTTATTTTTTCTATTTGCCCTGGTGACCAAAATGGTAACAGCTTGAAGACTTGACCTTCTGTGGGTGAACACTTAACCCTGAATACCTCTTTAGAGAGAGAATAAATTATTTGTTTGACTTGCAGGAGCTTATTAAATTGGTGATTATTTCCATAATTTTCATGCCCTTTACATTTAATTTTAGGGTGATACTGTAAGGTGAATAAGAAGCCAGTCACTCTTTGAGGTTAAAGAGTTGAAGCAAATTTTACTGCACTAAACTTACCAAATGAGCAGAATCATCCACGTTCTCTGGGGGACCAACAGACTCTAGCCGGCCCTCTTCAGTTGAATCACATTGTAAAGAGATGAAAGTTTTAGGGCTAAAAAAAGTAAAGGAGTTATTATTAATGATAAATGCAAGTTTTCAAGACCATTAAATTTTTAATTATTTCTTAAATTAACATACTGTTTAGAAGTATTGTCCTTTACTTCTCTTGGAACCCTGCTGTTAGTGAACAACCCATTTTGCTTTACAATAGAAATTGCAACATGCTTAAATCAATTAGAGTGTGCAGGACACAGCAGCCTATATTGAAATCTCCTGTCACAAGACCTGGCCATATCATTGTGCTGTCTAATTGGGTAACACACTTAAGCCTTAAAGTCTCTCTCTTCACCCAGGAGTATAAATGGGTCCAGGTTAAAAATGTCAGGAAAGCCTGGGGGGGGGGGGGGGGGGGGGGGGTAACCTTATGATGTACTGACATCCTATCCTAGGGGAGTTGTGATACTGTAAGTTTTTTTTATACAGGATTAAGGATCTGGCATGATAAGCCAGCTGGCCAAAGAGCAGTCTTAACCTATATAGGGCGTAAGAATAATGTTAAGGAAGAGACTCCAATAAAACGAAGCCCTTGAACAAAAAGCAAACTTTGCCACCCTCAGTATTCCTTTACATCAGAGTCAGTTTTGAAGTACCTCTGTGTTGTCTCAGGATATGACTTTCCTGTAAATGATAAAACACATCTCTTTGCTGTTGTGTTAAAGTTAAATTCTGCAGTCTCTTGTTTCCCAAGGTCCAGCTCATCAGATATAATTGTACCACAAACCTAACAGTGAAAACAGGTAATAGGTTTTTTTTTAAACAGTAATATTGATATTTTGAGAGAGTCTTTGACAGGGTTGTACATAATGAAAGGCAACCAATGATCTTTGACTTTGCAGGTTTTTGTCAGCTTCTTCAGTTGTTGATTCACAATACCACCAGGAGGGTTTTTTCTCTGGAAGCACCCTTGTACCCTAAGGTAATTAAACCTCACTGTCCAGGACGTTAATTGTTCAGGACCTCATTGTTCAAAGGCCTCACTTTCTCAGCAGGAGAGTGGCAACAGGATATCCACAAATGAGAGATACAAGATGTATCAAGTTTTAATATTCCATATTCCCATTTAAATTTCTGACTAGCCTCTAGAGTTGTCTGTAAATCCAAGTTGCATAATGAGTTCAAGCCCCATTTTAAGCCAAGGCATTATCCACTGTTTTGGATATTCCCAAGTGACTAATTAAAACAATCTAGGTGTTGGGTCTATGTTCACTTCTTCAGAGATATGTCTCGCATAGATATCAAAATCCCACTCCTAACATCATTTTATATATCAAGATTAAAATGCCATAGTGTTTAACAAACAAAAACATAGAGAAAGATTTTTTTCGTCTTGTTACAAGTAAGGGACAAAGAAAAAATTCTGAGTTCTCATGAGGAATCTGCACTCTAATGATCTACCACTGAGCCACAGAAACTCCATGGCAAGTGTAGGAGCACGGAATCTGAAGGTCTAAGGTTTGATTCTTCATGGATACTCTTTTTCCCATGCTGACAAGAGACAAGACAAAAAAATCTCTCTGTATTTCTTAAACAATCTCAAAATTTACCATCTCTCTTAATCTATCAACAAAAACATGATTCTACAACATTGGTTACCAAACAATACCATTATTCATGGCTGTTGTTATCACCAAACATGAAATATAATCTTAGATCTTCTAAAGGCACATTTACAGCTACCAAAGGTCTTTACTAAAAAGACACTGGGGGGTTGTGCTTTTACAGTAGCTGCTCCTAAGTCATAGAACAATCTACCCCAGGATTTACCTGATAGACATTTTAATAATTTTAAATCAATGTTTAAGACCTATCTTTTTAGACTTGCTTTTAATTAGATTTTATTTTATGTAATATTTATGTATAATTAATTCCCCATTGTTTTAATATGTTAGATATTTGAACTTTCTAGATAACTTTTTATAGTTGTTGATAGATTAAAATGTTCATAAATAGTATTTTATATAATGCACATTTCATCATATTAACATTTAAAATTGTGCACTATAAGTATCATCATCATCATCATTATAATTATTATTATGACAACCACATGATGCCCCATTCAACTTAGACACTATAGCACTATGGCTCAGACTTACAGCTATGTCTTCACAATCCTTGTAGGTGGAACTTGGAGATGAAGGTTTAGTCCACTTGTTACAAGGATTCCAGGAAACTGTCAAACCCTGTACAACAGCAACATCCTTAAACCTTTGAGAAAATGAGTTACCAGTGACTGTAGATTACAGCATTTTGCATTGCTAGTCAGACATAAAGAGAATTATACAGAGACAGGATGATATGAATTTCATGTTTGAGAGGGAACAACATTGTTCTTGCGATTCAAGCATAAAATTTCATATCTTCAAGCAAACATATCATTCTCTTTTTATTATATGGACAATAAATATTCATGGTAGAGATTGAAAGGCTAGCTTTATCACAAATATTGGGTATTATCACAAAGAACTCATTACAACTTTTGAGAAATTCCTTGAAAATCTTTAGATCATATGGTGTTTTCTTTTAGGTGCTCTTGTTTTCTTGTTGATAGGAAAATGAATTTAAATCTTCATTGCTTACCACAACAAATCTTGCAGCTTATTCCAAAAAAGGAACAAACTGAGTTCATTCAGCAAAATATGAAAAGGGGGAAATTGTGACATTATTTCTCAATACGACCACTTGTTGCCAATTCGTTCCAGGATGAAGTGGTTGCATTAATTTTACCAGTGTTTTAGTTCCCAGTAAAACGTTCCCATTCCTGTGATAATTTAAGAAACTGTCTGCCCCTAACTATATCCATCCTCTATCCAGCAGTCTCACAGTACATGACCTCATTGCTTTCACCATTATAAGACCAACAATCAAAGTGATATTTTCAATTTTTTGCATGCATGTTGTGCATGTGGTTGTGGGGAGCAGAATTCTATCCTCATAAAATTAATGAGTACACAAGGTACAGAACATTTCATGGTTAATGCACATCCCCACTTCCCATGTATCCCCTCAAAGGATGGCATAAATCCCAACCCTCGATGTTTCTGTGGGAGCACTTCGAAAAATGATGAACAATTTTTTAGTTAATTTGCGCCCTGGAAAAGAAGACCCACAGGATTCTAACCTCCTTTGAAAAAATATTCGTTAGGGGGAGATCGCTGAGAATGAAAACGGATCGCCCCGACAAACTACCATATTTCCAGGTTTCCATCGATGACAGTGATATTTCTAAGTAGAGCTACAATGGGAGCTGAAAGGAGCGAGAGGAAGATTTTGGAGAAGCATCCTTTTTCCCTCCAAAGATTACACTTTACCACTGCAAATATTCATCGAATTGAATGTGGCTTATAAAGTTCGTTGGGTGAGGTTACACATGAAAACAAGGGAAAATGCCCTCTCCCGACTTAAAATTATGTAAATCCCCCAAAGGAAACTCCATCAATTATCTTCTTTTTTTTTTTTTTCGCGTATGAGATTATTCAAGTTTACAGATATTTTAGAGTGATCATGTATGATTGGTAAATCAACGTCTTTATAACGCATTGCACTATTTACCATACCTGGGTGCGCTACTAGCAGGGAGAGCTAACTTCGATAAATCTATAGTTCCTTCATCGGTCGAACATTTACAATCATTTTCTTTTATACATTGGCTTAAAGTCTGCACCACTATTGGAACATGAATGTAGACAATAATTGTAGAAATCCAACAGTAGTTCTCCGAGACCCACATGTGTGCCAGGAATAGTGCAGAGACAATATATTACGCTTACACCACAAACTACCGCTGTCTTGGGCTGTTTTTTTTTTCCCATGCCCTCCTCGTTCAATTTTGATACTTCCTAATGAAAGTGCTAACTCAATCACATTTCCAAAACAACTCGCGATATCGAGTAGGAACAACGCTACTCTGTTCCTGGCGGCTTTTTTGGTAATATTATTTTTAATCATTTCAGTGAATTAAAAAGTGAAGGTGATTAGGTGTTCTTTTACTCTTTGCGTTACTGGATTCGCGTGTGTCATGCTTGAAGTCTTTGTCACGAACATGAAAATGTGATGAATACAGGTGAGTGAAAGTCGGTTTTTTCATGTCATTTATGAAACCTTTCGACGTGCAGATAGTCACATCGAACTTCATGAATATGTCACTTCTTCAATCGATCAATGAAACATTTCAGCTCCACTGTCATTTAACAATTCAATCAATTTATCTCCAGTATAATGCAGTGCAATGATGGTTAATTTCCTTCTGTAAAACAGAAAAACGACATCATCAGATTCGCTTTCAGAGCAGTTTCTTCAGTGTACTCCTACCAAATTGTCACACATAAATTTTTGAAAAACGAGAAGTAGTTGATGACTTTGATCATTGATAGAAAGCACCGTTTTGAAACTTAAAGTTGTGGTAAAAGTAAACTAGACTTACATTTATTTGTTTTCTTAAAGATGAAATATATATTTAACGCGTTTTACTACCGACCATCTGGTTATTTTCTGAAAAAAAAGACAAGGATTTTCATGGAAAGGGGTCACCTGTCAGTAACTTTGAATACCCCAATGCCTAGTTAGATTTGTTGCAGCTTTTTAGCTAAGTGAACTTCACACTGGTGTGGCTTGCGTCTGCTATCACTTAAGTTGATGAGGGCATTTAAAACATGATGATCATATATAGTAATGAGCCATTAAAATAATGAAAATAATGATGATGATGATGATGATGATGATGGTAGTAATAGTCTGTGGAGACAAGAAGCTTGCCTAATGAGAGAATTAGGAGTGCCAAATAAGGTGGCTGTGTAAGTACACCTGGAGATGTATGGAAAGGGATAGAGTGGACCGATAATATGTTTGTCCTTCAACCTTTATCCAGTCTCATAGAATGAAAAGAAGTGGTTGTCAGGTAACCCGAGTCACTGCTATTTACACAAACAAAGGGCTGAAACAAAATTGGCAAGAGGTTATTCTCAGTGCACATATTTAAAAATATGTAAATGGGTGCTTCTTTCCTCAAATTAGGATTATTTAGATTGTTATACTCCCTAATGGCATGATTAAATAATATCTGTTGGGGTATTATTGCATCATTATTTTAAACTGGTCTAAATCTGATATACAATTCTCTTCCTTGAAGGTGCACAACTTGCTTAGAAGTATCCAGTTGACTCTGAAGTGTTGAGAATCCTAATTTCATTGTTCTAAATATGGAAAAGGAAGACGTACTTGATGACAAGAGTTCAACAGCTTTTAAAATCAACTGGTCCTCTTCAAACATTCCTTCTAACTTTGTAGTGAACAATACACTGCCTCCAAGTCTGGCACACAGCTACTCACATCAAACATTACTTGGGCATGGTCAGCAGTTTTCCAAGAAACTACTGCCGTCTAGAACAAAATTTCGAACACATGCTACTGTTAAGGTTTCACCGATGGGACATGATCATTTGGCAGAAAGGAAACTTAGAGACTCAGTACAAAAATCTGATACAAGCACATTGTTTGAGCTGATCAACAAGGGTGTAAATGTGTCTGGTGCTGACTCAAAACATAGAACTGCTCTTCATTTTGCAGCAGCACAAGGAAACGCTCAAACCCTAAAGGTTCTACTTGAAAATGGAGCTAATCCAAATGCAAAAGATCTTAATGGAAATACACCTCTTCATCTGGCTGCTTGTACAAATCAGGTTAAAATAGTGACCCTCCTACTACAAGCAGGGAGTGATGTCAATGCTTCTGACTTCAGTGGAAAAACTCCACTTGACCTTGCAAACTCCAGGTTAAGAATTCTTTATGGTAATCAGAACATCAGAGGAAAGCCATCAATTTATTGTGAGGAAGTGAAGCAAGTTATAGAGATGATCAAGGCATACATGTCAAGACTTGGAAATACAAAGGCAGAAGAAACACTGGATCAACTTTGTAGCATGCTCGGAGATTCTACCACTACAGAAGAGGTTTGTAAAATTTTAGCAATTGTTGAATATAGCCAGGTGCACTTATTTCCTTTTTTTGTGGCAATTAAGACATGTTGTGTGGTGTTAAAAGAGTTCTTTCATCATTTTTGACTCTACCACATTTGTATTGCAGCCGCCATGCTGATATGTGTATGGTTCCTTTTGTTAGTGTGAGGTTACTTCTAAAAAAGAGTGTTGTCAGTGATCGTGATTGTGTTTTAATTAACAACTTGAGTAGAAGTCATTAACAGAGTCAAGATCAGGTTATCAAAATGTCAGTGACAATCACTCGTGACAGTCTCTCTCAGCATTACTTTTACCTGGATGATAAGAATACACCACTAGAGTTCAATTGTCCAATAAAATTTTTTGATTTAATCATCAAACTTTTTGTGAAAAGCAAGATCAGGAACAGGTTTGGAGCACAGATAACAGTCATTAATGCTCTCAGGTTGCCAAGGGGGGAATGTTGAAGCTTTGAATTGATCAGGGCATAAGAAAAACAGTGGGCCACAGTGTCACTGTTTTATGGAGATGTTTCATCTCACAACTCTTACTGGATACTCCTTGCAGGTTGATGAAGTTCACTCTTTGCTGGCCAGTTTTACTGCAATGAATCTTTCACACAGTGCTGAAGACAGGACATAGGATTATCAATTGAAAGTAATATCAATTTTTAATCCATTAAGAACAGGAATTTAGAATTCATTTTCTAACCCACAGCAGGCAAAACACTACTTCTGAGGTTTGAATTTTGTTAAATTTCAAAGTTTTGCCTGCTCATGAAACTGAGTCATGAATGGAGATTGCATTCTGTTACCACTAATCATCCCATCAGTGATCAAAACAGAATTACTCTTTACAACATCAATACAATATCATGCAGGCAAGTGATGAGAATACAGAAATATATCAATTAACCCTTTACACCCTAACATCAGTATTCATATTCTCCATACGGTTCTCTGTACATTTGATAAGGTGCTCACAAGGAGAATTTGTTTCACAATCAAGAGTTCCTTTAGTTGGTGATCATTTCCTTTTTTCTCATGACATTCATGTGTGATTCAGTAGTGATGATGATAAGAGAAATTAGATTTTAGTCACTCTTAGGGGTTAAAGGGTTAAGGGATTAAGGCATTATCAAATTCTCCCAACTAATATTGTAAGAATTGTATGGCAGACAGAACAGGAAATTACCAACAAAATCTGGGGATGAAAGGGTTAAATATGGTGGCAAAGAGGTATATTAGAAATAAAAAAGATAAAAAAATACAAAAAAAACATTTGTAAGGGCTATTCAATGGTGCCACTCATTTATTTGTCTTAAAGAAACACAGAGTAACATTTTTTGCAGCTTTGTAGATTTAAATAGTGCTGGTGTAGTAAATCTTGAAATACAAAAGTATAAAAGGAAAAAAAGGTTAAATACAGTTATTAGGTTAAAACAAACAAGCTCTTGTATCAGTAAAGTTTAATCCAGGTAAAGTTCAACAGTGGTAAACTTCCAGTCCTCTTCAATGCTGCTGTTTGCTTCCTCAAGGTCACAAAGCTGTCCTTTCTCCTCCTTCATCTTTTCCTTCAGGTAATTCTCCAAACCAAACAAAGTAGAAAGAGTACTCTCATTTGCAGCAATGCTGGTTTCTCCTTTGGTAAACCCACATGATTGCCGCCTTTGTTCCTTCAGTTTGTCCTTGAGATAATCTTCCAGGTCAACAACTGTAGAGTGGCCACTCTCATCTGTGTCAAAGCTATCCTCATAAAACCCACCAGACTTTTGCTTCCATTCCTTGGTGGGATTAACCACAGTAGACAGACCTGTCTGATATTCTCCACTGCTACCATCCTCACTGGTAAACCCTCCCGATTGCGGTCGTGGTTTCTTTTTTTGGGGTTTGGGTCTCTTAGTATGTCTGGTCTGTTTTGCATTCTCATCCTCATCAGAACTTGAGGTGTTGGTGTTTGCTTCAGGGATTGCTCTGGACTTGCGTCTTCTCTTTTTCATACTGTCTGTCAAAAGAGTTTTGGTCTCTAAATGTCCAGCTTCCATTTTGTCCATTTCATCGTCTGTGGAACCGCGTTCCCAAAACTCCCTAAAAAATAAACACAGTGATTCTAACTAAATACCAAAGCTTAAAATGACAGCTTCTTTATGCCTTTCCAAATGTCTCATAGCCCAAAAGCCTTGAGAAAGAACTATTATATAATACTGGCAATTTGTGGCTTCATTAAAGTCCTATCCAAACGAGTAAGGCTCTAGTTGGAGAGTTTCGAGACCATGCATTGCATTCAAAACTTTATACAAGCCAAGAAACTTTCCATGACTTACTTAAGGGTGCTCATTGCTAATATTGCTTATAATCCATATGACAATTTTGCAATTGCACAAGATGCAGGCTTATCCAAATTGAAAACCTATCATATCATCAGAAGTGACAATCATGAAATTGCTGGCAGTTCATACAATTTTTTTATTCTCAGAAAATTCATTTTCATGGGTTACTTGGTTACTTGTGAGTGTCATAGCACACTTTTGAGCAGTTTGGAAAATGCTCGGGGGTTTTCTATGCATGGACTGTCTCGTGGGTTATCTTAAAAAAGTCACTTAGAAACTGGCATATACAGTACACTCTTAACCCTTTAACTCCCATGAGTGACCAAGAAAGAATTTCTCCTTTCAATGTTAATACAATATCAACCAGATAAGTGATGAGAATAAAGAAAAATATCAATTTGTGG